TCTCAGGCATGGCAAGTCCTTTCTGCCTATGAGCCTGTAAAATCAAAAGCAAGCTAGTTACTTCCGAGATACAATGAGGGTACAGGTATTTGGTAAATATGGCCATTCCAAATGGGAGAAATTGGCCAGAACAAAGAAGTACAGAACCCATGCAGAGCAGTCAAAATTTAAAACTCCGAATTTACCTCCTTTGACTTCATATCTCACATCCAGGTCATGTTGATGCAAGCAGTGGGTTCCCATGGTTTTGGGAAGCTCTGTCTCTTTGGCTTTGCAGGATACAGCCCCACTCCTGGCTGCTTTTATGGGCTAGCACTGAATGTTTGAAGCTTTTCCAGGAGTATGGTACAAGCTGTCAGTGGATCTACCATTCTGGGGTCTGAAGGACGGTGGCCCTATTCTCACAGTTCCACTAGTCAGTGCCCCAGTAGGGACTCTTTGTGGGGCCTCTGATCCCACATTTCCCTTCTGCACTGCTGTAGGAGAGATTCTCCATGAAGGCCCCACCCCTGCAGCAAAAGTTTGTCTGGGCATCCAGGCATTTCCATACATCTTCTGAAATCTAGGTGGAGTTTCCCAAACCTCAATTTTTTACTTCTGTGAACCTGCAGGCTCAACACCACGTGGAAATAGCCAAGGCTGGGGGATTCTACCCTCTGAAACCACAGCCTAAGCTTTATGTTGGCCACTTTCAGCCATGGCTGGAGCAGCTGGGACACAGAACACCAAGTCCCTAGGCTTCAAACAGCACAGGGACCCTGGGTCTGGCCCACAAAACCACTTTTTCTTCCTGGGCCTCCAGGCCTGTGATGGGAGAGGCTACCATAAAGATCTCTGACATGCCCTGGAGACATTTTCCCTGTGGTCTTGGGGACTAACATTAGGCCCCTTGCTACTTATGCAAATTTGTGCAGCTGGTTTGAATTTCTCCCCAGAAAATGGGTTTTTCTTTTCTATTGCATAGTCAGGCTGCAAATTTTCTGAACTTTTATCCACTGTTTCCCTTTTAAAACTGAATGCCTGGCCAGGTGCAGTCGCTTAAGCCTGTGATCCCAACACTTTGGGAGGCCACAGCAGGTGGATCACCTGAGATCAGGAGTTTGAGACCAGCCTGCTCAACATGGTGGAACCCTGCCTCTAGTAAAAATATTTTAAAAATTAGCTGGACATGGTGGCAGACACCTGTAATCCCAGCTATTGAGTAAGCTGAGGCATGAGAATTGCTTGAACCCAGGAGGTGGAGGTTGCAGTGAGCCAAGATTGTGCCACTCCGCTACAACCTGGGCAACAAGAGTGAAATTCAATCTCCAAAAAAAAAAACCTGAATACCTTTAACGTTACTCAAGTCACCTCTTGAATGGTTTGCTGCTTAGAAATTTCTTCTGTCAGATACCCTAAATCATCTTTCTCAAGTTCAAATTCCACAAATCTCTCAGGCAGGGGCAAAATGCCACCAGTCTCTTTGCTGAAACATAACAAGCGTAACCCTTGTGTCAGTTCCCAACCAGTTCCTCTTCTTCACCTGAGACCATCTCAGCCTGGATCTTTTTTTTTTTTTTTTTTGAGACAGAGTCTTGCTCTGTTGCCCAGGCTGGAGTGCAGTGGCGGGATTCAGCTCACTGCAAGCTCCGCCTCCTGGGTTTACGCCATTCTCCTGCCTCAACCTCCCGAGTAGCTGGGACTACAGGCGCCTGGCACCTCGCTCGGGTAGTTTTTTGTATTTTTTAGTAGAGACGGGGTTTCACCGTGTTAGCCCGGATGGTCTCGATCTCCTGACCTCGTGATCCGCCCGTCTCGGCCTCCCAAAGTGCTGGGATTACAGGCTTGAGCCACTGCGCCCGGCCTTGGATCTTATTGTCCATATCACTATCAGCATTTTAGGCAAAGCTGTTCAACAATTCTCTAGGGAGTTCCAAACTTTCCCACATTTTCCTGTCTTCCTCTGAGTCCTTCAAACTGTTCCAACCTCTGCCCATTACACAGTTCCAAAGTCTCTTCCACATTTTGGGGTATCTTTTCAGCAATGCCCCACTCTACTGATACCCATTTACTGTATTAGCCCGTTTTCATGCTGCTGATAAAGACATACCCGAGACTGGGAAGAAAAACAGGTTTAATTGGACTTACAGTTCCACATGGCTGGGGAGGCCTCAGAATCATGGCAGGAGGTGAAAGGAATGTCTTTGGTGGCAGCAAGAGAAAATGGGGAAGAAGGAAAAGCGGAAACCCCTGATAAACCCATCAGACCTCATGAGACTTATTCAATATCACAAGAATAGCGTAGGAAAGACTGGCCCCTGTGATTCAATTACCTCCTCCTGGGTCCCTCCCACAATATGTGGGAATTCTGGGAGATAGAATTCAAGTTGAGATTTGGGTGGGGACACAGCCAAACCATATCACTTGGGTATACCAGAGGGAAAAAATGACAAACTCATTGCTGGTTCGGTATTTCCTTGGTTTCTGGTCTTCCTTAATCTGATTGCTACTGTTTGCTTTACAATATCCTCAAATATCTGCTTGATGCATTCTGTCCAATTTTAAAGCGATATTCAATTAAAGAGACAGGGCAGGATGTACTCACGCTATCTTATCTAGTGCCAACAGTCCAGTTCTCTTTTAATTGTGCCTGGTCGCCTGTTTTACTTATCCACCTTGTGTTTAAATCTTAATTATTATATATTTAATTCCTAGACATTCTAGTTGATCTCTTTCAACTATTCTTGATCTTTTTATTAGTTTCATCTTTGATTCTTATTTTGAATTCATTCTTTTATTTTTTAAATATATTAAAAATATTTATATTGTGTATCTAATAAACAGCAACTCTATTTCATAGTTGCTATTTCTGAAAAACCTAAAATCATCTTTGACACTTTTTGTTTTCTTGCACCTCAATATCTAATAGGACATTAATCAGTTGCCTTTATCTTCAAAATATATTCAAATTTCACCAATCTTCACCAAGTTAATGGCTACAATCTCATTAAGGGAGGGTTTATGTATATGAATGATTAAGGCAGAATTATTTTCAAATTCTACTGTTTGGTACTGATGGAGAAAAGGTATTTTTCTTATTATTATGCTCTATGAGATATATTTTTAGTGAATTGTTACACAGACTATTTTGATGTTCACTTCTTTGGGGTCCCAGATATATGTGGATATTTTTATTAGACTCTTCCTTTATGAGGGCTCTGGTAATCATCCTTTGTCCACTTGACTCCAATGTGGACTTCAAAACAAAATAAGCAACCTGGATTTAGAAGATGCCCATGGAGAGAGAGAGGGAGGGGGGGGAGAGAGAGAGAGAGAGAGAGAGAGAGAGAAAGAAGAAGAAGAAGAAGAAGAAGAAGAAGAAGAAGAAGAAGAAGAAGAAGAAGAAGAAGAAGAAGAAGAAGAAGAAGGAGGAGGAGGAGGAGGAGGAGGAGGAGGAGGAGGAGGAGGAGGAGGAGAAGGAGAAGGAGGAGAAGGAGGAGGAGGAGAAGAAGAAGAGAAGGAGGAGGGAGGAAGAAGGAGGAGGAGCAGAGGAGGAGAAAGAGGAAGAGGAAGAGGTGGGGGAGGCAGGGAGGGAGGGAGGGAGAAAGAAAAAAGTCAAAATAAGGTTTTGATTGCATCTTTTGATTTCTTCCAGTACACAAAATATTTTCTTAGTCTTCTCAATTGCTTAAAAATAACTTGAAAATAATATTTGGTGGATATAGACAGACAGATAGATATTGCAGTATATATACTGTAGTCAGAAAGAGTAGTTTAGGAAATTACATACTGATTGAAATAGAATTCTATTTTATACATTCTTAAACATTCTTGCCAGCTTTTGTTGATCCTGGTGGGCTTGTCCTTTGGGCTCATTAGTTTGTTAAGATTTGAGGCTTGGGTTTATACTTTGAGGTGCAAATAGATGGAATGGGTTATGCTGGGGAAAATTCAAAATATATAAAAGGTTTGAAAAGACTTATCTATGTAGCATCTGGACCAGTTATGTCTTAGGAGTGGAGGCAAAGCTCTTGCAAAGAATAAAGTGATTCTTTTGTTTAGTGTTTACTTTGATCGTCATTGTTTTATGTAAATAACTCCCAGTAACTGCAAACAAATAAAAAGTATTGCTAAATTCTCAGATGCTATCATAACAAAGTATATAAATATAGCTGCACTTCTAGTAACATCTAAATATATAGGCAAGATGTATTAGTTCATTCTCAAACTACTATGAAGAAATACCTGAGACTGAGTAATGTATAAAAAAAGGAGGTTTAATTGATGCACAGTTCCAATTATGGTGAAAGGCACCTCTTCACAAGGTGTCAGGAAAGAGAATGAGTGCCAAGTGAAGGGGGAAGCCCCTTATAAAACTATCAGATCTCATGAGAACTCACTCACCATCATGAGAACAGCATGGGGGAAACTCCCCCATGATTCAATTATCTCTACCTGGTGTCGCCCTTCACACGTAAAGATTATCACAATTCAAGGTGATATTTGAGTTGGGACACAGAGCCAAACCATTTCACAAGATGATCAATTAATGGCTTTCAATAGTCTTGAAACTGAATAGGAAATAAAACATGTAATATTGGCCTTTTGAACTCATTAATTTTTCAAATGGGATCTCTGATGCAAAAATGGTTATTAATCACTGTCTTGGAGCCAACATTTGGTGACATAAATAATTGTGTTTTGTAAATGAGCATCTGGACCCCATAATCTTGGATGAAATGGTTGCCAGACCTCAAGGAATATATCTGTTCCCCTGGTATGCAAGCAATTGTGACCACAGGTGATGCTGGAAATACAGACAGTCATCAGAGAAGCCTAAGACTCTGCAACTTGCACAGTTCAGAGGGCAGCATCTAAAGTTTCTAAGGTGTCCCCAAATCCTGACTCCTTCTGTTGTTGCTAGGAAAGTTGCCCAGCTTTATCTAAATACATCCAAGTAAAGAGGGTACCAGGCTAAGAAGAGATGAACTGAGAAATTCTATTTTTCTAGTACCACTTACCTCTTTTCCTGAATTGTAAATAGATAGGCAAAATGCCAATATACATCAGGAAAGGTAGACACTGAAACACAAGGTGAACACACCTTATATTCTCTGTAACTGAAAAAGGATCAAGGAGAAGGAGAATTAGGAAGCTAGCTCTTTTGGAATACATTGGAACAGCAACAAACATGCTAGATTAAGGAAATTATTTTAAGGTCTCAATGTAATGTCTATTTAGGTCTATTCAGCCTAAGTCACAGCTCAGGCATCAAAAGCAGGATTGTGAATGAGATAGAGCCAGGAATCAGGAATGAAGGGAGGACTTGTTTGGGCTTAGGATAGATGAGGGTACTGGAGAACAGTATTTTCCTACTTTCCCACACTCTGTGCAGTATGTTTGTTGATCACAACATGAAAATAAGATGTAGAGAGAATGGGACCCTGGTCACTATAACATATATGAGTCTGATGTTTGTAGGACAAACAAAATGGTAGTTTGGGGAAACTCTGAGTTAGCTAAGAGGACAAAAGTGCTTTGGAACCCAATAATTTCACAGTTGTAATGCCCTGAAGGTATAACTGAAGGATCTTCTTTATAGCATTCCTGCTATTTAGCCACTCAAACTTTGCTTGAAAACTTATATTCTAGAGAGCTTACTATGGTGTGAGAAAGATTATTTCAAGTCTGGGCAATTCTCCTTATTAAACCATGCTTTCCCATATCAAACTAGATATTTATTTATTTATTTAGAGACGGAGTCTCACTCTGTCACCCAGGCTGGAGTAAAGTGGCACGAACTTGGCTCACTGCAACCTCCACCTCCTCTGTTCAAGCGATTTTCGTGCCTCAGCCTCCCAGCTAGCTAGGAACTACAGCCATGCATCACCACACCCAGATAACTTTTTGTATTTCTATTAGAGACGGGGTTTCACTATGTTGGCCAGGTTGGTCTCGAGCTCCTGAACTCAAGCAATCTGCTCCTTTTAGACTACAAAAGTGCTAGGATTACAGGCATAAGCCTCAAACTAGATTTTTAAAAGATTCTTTTGCTTATTTATAACATTTCTAGAAGAAAATGACAAGACTTGTATAATTCTGAGACACATTATGCAAAGAACCAATAACTATAAATACTTGGCTTAGGGTGAAGAAGATCCAGAAAAGAACATGATGCTTTCTGTTTGAGTTTTTCTTTTGTTTTGGTTCTGTGTTTTTGTGTGTGTGAGTTTTTAAAACCACAAATACCAGAAACTATTAACAGGAAAGTCCTAAAAGGAAGAGTTTCCTTACATCACACTAGAAGTAACCTCTACAAGGACAAAGACTTTAAGCTGTTTTTTCCTTTTGCTTTACTGTTAATATCTAGAACAGTACGTAATCCCTGAGATGCTCAGCATACATTTGTTGAGCAGATAAGTCAAATTGCCTAATGAGTGAGTTAGTGACCTCCCCATCACTGAAAGTACGCAAGGATGATGTTGATACCTCACATCTTAGTGGAGAAGAGCATCACTACATTTGGAGCAAAGTGTTCGCATTTGAAACGTCTAAGTTTCAGCCCTGGCTCTACATGTTTGAGCTTGAACAATTTAACTGAAAACTCTGATGACTAATTTCTTCATCCAAAAAATGGTGATAATAAATGGAACCTATCTCATAGGGTGTTTGGATGACATTAACTATAAATTGTTTATCACATTTCCTGGCACATGATAAATACTCGTTCAAAGTTATACAGGTCTTTATGAATTATATAGGACTAGCCAAGATGAACTCTATTTTCATTTTTAGGCTTATGTTTTCTGAACTATAGAAGAGTTTCATTTTAATGATAACTCTCAAAAGGCACCTTGTCTTATCAATTATATTTATGTCACTATGGATGAAATTATTTCCCAAAGTCTCCTAGTCCATCTCCTTCTCTATACAAAGCAGCCTGGAATGTATCACAGTTTCTTTCTCTCAGGAAATCTAGAATACTTGATGGCATAACATGTCATTTCTGTTACTCATCTTGCATGGTCTGAAGTTCTAAGATCCAGTACTGTGAGGGGCCATTCTCAAATGTATCCAATGCCTTCTCTGCCTTCTGTTTTCAACTCCCTGAAATTAAGGCTGCATTTCCCACCCTTAGTGATGCAAGGGGTGTATGTTTAGGTTAATTTCATAGGAAAAACAAAGGGGAGCTGAGAGAAGATTCAGGAGAACCAAGAATTGGATTATTGGTTCATGTGTTTTTCTTTTTCTTATAATCAAGGTAAAATATTCTGGAGAATTTGAGGAATAAGTCTGAAAATCCATAGATGCCTGTGGAAGAGAAAACTATTCCAGCCTGGGCTACAGAGCAAGATTCTGTCTCAAAAAAACAAAAACAAAAACAAATATATATATATATTCAAAACTATTATTATTTTTGTTGTTGTTGTTGTTGTTGAGACAGAGTCTCGCTCAGCTGCCCAGGCTGGAGTACAGTGGCATGATCTCGGCTCACTGCAACCGCCATCTCCCAGGTTCAAGTGATTCTCCCGTCTCATCCTCCTGAGTAGCTGGGATTATAGGCACCCACCATCATGCCTGGCTAATTTCTGTATTTTAGTAGAGACGGAGTTTCACCATGTTGTCCAGGCTGGTCTTGAACTCCTGATCTCAGGTGATCCACCTGCCTTGGCCTCCCAAAGTGCTAGTGATTACAGGCGTGAGTCACTGTGCCTAGCCTCAAAACTATTATTATTTAAATTCCAGAAAATGGCCCAAGTGAGAAGAAATAAGTAATGATGGCTCCGCAAGGATCAGGAGATTTTGGAGGTGGCAGCTACTATGGCAGCAGCAACACTTTCGCTCTGGAGAACCACATAAACATGGAGAACACTAGCTCATCCTGAGATATAACTCAAGATATTAAGACCTTCTTTGGCAAGTACAGCAGTGAGATGCTTTGAGGTTGACACTGTTTTGTGTGAACCTCCTCCAAACACTTGGTATCAAGTAAAGAAGGAATGGCTTCAGAACTCATTACCTTTCCTGAATTAAATACCTTTTATTCTGAGAAACAGAAGAGCAACCACAATGCTCAAATATATCCAAGGATATGAAATTTTATGTGACATCAATGACATATATTCTGATTTGAACAGGATATCTGAAAGAAAGAGTAGAAAGACTTGGTAAGTACAGCAACAGAATTATAAGATTACATTGTGCATGGAAGGTTACTGCTGAAGAAGTAGGAGCCACACTTAAGGTCCCCATTGCACTCCATGCTATAAACTCTGAGCCCAGATGAGGGTTGTCAGTCAGTGAAGCTGAACTAGGGGAAAGAACAGAGTTTGGGAGTTATTGTGTCAAGAATAGAACAGTATTGGATGAAAGGATGAATTCCTACTTCTGTTCCTACATTCTAGTGGACAATCCACGAAAGGAGGGAAATTATAGAACAGAGCCTTGGATGCCACAGTAAATGTTGAATTTGGAAAACTCCATAGTTGTGAGACTGGATCAGAAGTGCCACTGGTGAAATTTTAGAAAGTTTAAAGAAAAAGTAAGAGCTCTAAAGTCACAGAAATAAAACTAAGAAAGACATCTGACATTCAGTGTTTAAATTCCCTGTAGGGAGTTCCTGTGAGACCAATTTAACAGAAAAATTCTCCCAGAAGAGAATATCTAATATCCTGATCAAAATGTAGAAGGAAGGAAGGAAAGAAGGAAGGAAGGAAGGAAGGAAGGAAGGAAGGAAGGAAGGAAGGAAGGAAGGAAGGAAGGAAGGAAGGAAAGAAGGAAGGAAAGAAGGAAGGAAGGAAGGAAGGAAGGAAGGAAGGAAGGAAGGAAGGAAGGAAGGAAGGAAGGGATAGGGTCCAGCCCTACTGGGCCTGTGGGATTTTCTCTTCATGTGTGGAGATGAGAGAGCGTAGAAATAAAGACACAAGACAAAGATATAGAAGAAAAGACAGCTGGGCCCGGGGGACCACTACCACCAAGACGCAGAGACCGGTAGTGGCCCCAAATACCTGGCTGCGCTGTTATTTATTGTATACAAGGCAAGGGGGCAGGGTAAGGAGTGTGAATCACCTCCAATGATAGGTAACGTCATGCGAGTCACGTGTCCATCAGACAGGGGGCCCTTCCCTATTTGGTAGCCGAGGCAAAGAGACAAAGGGAACAGCTTACATCATTATTTCTTCTATGCATTTTTCAGAAAGCTCAACGGCTTTAATACTTTCACTAATTCTGCTACTGCTATCTAGAAGGTGGAGCCAGGTGTACAGGGTGGAACATGAAAGTGCACCAGGAATGTGACCGCTGAAGCACAGCATCACAGGGAGACTTTTAGGCCTCTGGATGGCTACGGACAGGCTTGATGGATATCAGGCCTTCCACAGGAGGTGGTAGAGCAGAGTCTTCCCTAAGTCCCCCGGGGAAAGGGAGACGCCCTTTCCCAGTCTGCTAAGTAGTGGGTGCCTTCCCAGGCACTGGCACTACTGCTAGACCAAAGTCTGCTAAGTAACAGGTGCCTTCCCAGGCACTGGTGTTATCGCTAGACCAAGGAGCCCTCTAGTGGCCCTGTCTGGGTGTAACAGAGGGCTCACACTCTTGTCTTCTGATCACTTCTCACCATGTCCCTTCAGCTCCTGTCTCTGTATGGCCTGGTTTTTCCTACGTTATAATTGTAGAACAAAGATTATTGTAATATTGGAATAAAACGTAATGCTACAAACTAATGATTAATAATATTCACATATAATCATATCTATAATCTATTTCTAATATAACTATTCTTATTCTATATATTTTCTTTATTATACTGGAACAGCTTGTGCCCTCAGTCTCTTGCCTTGGCACCTGGGTGGCTTGCCACCCACAGGAAGGAAGGAAGGAAGGAAGGAAGGAAGGAAGGAAGGAAGGGAGGGAGGGAGGGAGGGAGGGAGGGAATGAGGGAGGGAGGGAACAAGGGAGGGAGGGAGGGAAGGAAGGAAGGAAGGAAGGAAGGAAGGAAGGAAGGAAGGAAGAAAGGAAGGAAGCAAGGAAGGAAAGGAATTGCTGAGTGTTGATAAAGCAGGTAATTCCTCAAATTTCTCAAAGTTTAGAAAATCAGGAAAGTTGAAAGTCAACGTTTGCCCATCATTTTCTGCCAATTACTAGGGATTTGGAGAGTGGAGTTTTAAGATCCTTGTATATAAGATATAAAAAGAGACAAACATGGGTTCCCAAATAATGAAGGAGAGATTGGGAACAGAAAAACCACAGAATTATACAGGCAATACCTCCAGAGACTGGGATTTTCAGATACAGAACATAAAATAAATATCTTAGTGTATTTCAATTTAAGATGATGTGAAGTATAGCAGGCTAACCTACTAAATTAACACCAGACTATTAGAACCTGAGGCACACATGGATTCTAGAAACAACAACAACAAAAATAACATGTAAAAATAGCACAAATCCATTGTCAAGGCATCCCCCCTACTTGGCTATCACCATGACTCAATTTGCTTTCTTCATTTTTGAAAGGCTTCTATTTGAAATTTTAAAAATAAACAGGAAAGGAGCATGAGATCTGAGGTTCTAGATTCACACCTTACCTTCAACAACGCTGATTACTGTTGGTCAGCCCGGGAAACCTAAATGGCTCAGAAGGGAAACGTGGGATTAAAAGGGAAACCAGAAGTAATACTCCCATGAAGTGGCGCAGAAAACTGAAATGGTGAGTTGATTAAAGGAGTTTATTTTGGGTCACAAAGGGACCTAAGCACCTGAAATAGATGGGTTTCTGCTGAACAGAAAGAAAAAAAAAGTACTTACAGTATTTATTTTATCAGCTTTCTAATTGTTCACTCATGGCTGTTAAGAGACAGGATATTTCCTTGATATTAAGCCTCTGTGAACTGGATCCAGTTAAATGCTTACCTTCTTCTATTCAGAGTAATCTAACAACAGAGGTAAAATTGATCTGAAATCACATCCAAAGACCGTCTGGTAGACACCAGTGATGTCTCTCAGGGAACATTCTCCTCCTTCTTCTTTTTTGGGAAAGCATCTCTTGAGAAATGAAACTAAAATAATTCCCTGTCTCTGTGTTAAGCAATACTAGGACCAAACCAGTTTCCGTAATAAAGTACCCTTGTGACATCATAATGTTTAAATCAATATTAACTTTGCATATTGCTTTGTTTTGTAAAACTATTGCACTGGCAATATTTCATTTCAAGCTCAAAATAACATATACTTTATCATTTCCAAATGAGATAAATCAATGGTCTTGAAGGTTAAGTGATACCCAAGGTCACAAAGCCCAAAAAAGGTGAATCTAGCACTCAAAGGACATAAAAACTTTGGAAGCCTTAACATGCTATACAGAACAAGGCTTTTCCTTTAATGATTCTAATATCTTCCATTGTTTAAAATAACTCCTTAGCACCTGGTATTTTCCTTGTCCCAGCAACTTAATACATTTTCAATAGTGCATGTCTACAGCAGTTCATAGCTTATAAAACAACCTCACATTTATTATTCCACTTAATTTTCTCTTTAGTTGGCCACATTGAAGAAGGACATGAAATTTTATGTGGCAATTCTTCCTTGATAAAACCAAGCCACAAGCACTCACCTGATATGACAATACCTGCCCTTTTCTCTTGACCAGTGACTGGGTTGTAAAAGCAGCAAGTTACAGGACCATGGGTGCTATTTTTTAGAAGAATGGTCATCTTCAAATGTAATAATCCAGCTCCATCCTGAGAGTAAGATTTTGATGAATGTGGAATTACATTCCCACTGCTGTCTCTCCATGCCATCTGGGCTTGTGGGAACCACCCTCCTGAGGTACACTCCACCACAAACCCCTCTGTGCCGAGAACCTGAACATTAATCTGCACATCCAAGCCTACAGCTGGAAAGAAGAGAGAGAAATTACATTATAGTTATTGGTGTGGACTCAAGAATTGAGAAGTAAATCAGTCTTTTCATTCTCTGTGCCCTATATATACCATAAGTGTAATGGGGGTGGCCACAATTAGAACAAGAATAATACTTCCATCCAAATCCAAGCTAGCAAGACATCAAAAATATTATCTATAAAAGAAAAGACTGATAATTGGGACTTAACTGTTGTTCTTCAAAAGACCACATGTAAAAAGTGAAAAAAAAAGTCACAGCTAGGAGCAGGCACTTGCAATACATCTGGAAAGTAGCATCCAAAATATATTAAGTACTATAAATCAATAAGACAGATAAACTTTGTGTTTTCAATGGGAAAAATATTTGAAAAACCATCTCATTTAAAAAAATATCCAGGTTACCAATAATTATATGCAAAGATGTTCAACATCACCAGCCATCAGGGAAATACAAAGTAAAACTTTAATGACATTCCACTTCACCCCACCAAAATGTCTTAATGAACAGCACTGGCACTGACATTACCAAAGACTGGAGAGGCTGTAGAGCAACTAGAGCTCTCCTATATGGCTGGCTCCAGGACTGTGAATTGGTTTAACCTCTCTGGGAAATTGTTAGTATCTACTGAAACTGAGCATACGCCTATGCTCATGACCCAACACTTTCACTCCTATTTATAATACATAACAGAAATGAGTACTGATGTATACAAAACAAAATGTTCAAAAATATTCATGGCAGTATTAGTCATAGTAGCCCAAAACTGAAAGTAACCCAAAAGTTCATTCACAGCATAGAATACAAGGAAAAACAAAGAAGAAATTTCTGCCACTTACAACATAAACGAATAATGGTAAGCAACTGCACACATATATGTGTGATTCCATTTATATAAGTTTTAGAACAGACAAAACTAATCTATGGAAATAGAAGTTAGAATCTCAGCAAGAGAAGAGTGGTATTGACTAGAAAGAGGTAAGACGGAACATTTGGATATATTTAATATCTTGATCTGAGGGGTGAATTTGTGGGTGTCCCTATATGTAAAAATTTATTGAGCTGTGCACTTGAGATTTGTGCACTCCATGTATATAAAGTATACTGGAATACAAAAATAAAAATAATTTAATCAATCCAAGCCACAGCCAGATTCAGCTGGGTGCCCCCATCTCTCAACTGGCTATTTTGAAATTTGCATCGTCATTTCTTAAGCATATAAATTGAATCAAGTTATTTTGGGGGCATAGAATTGTATAAGTGAAAACAATTTAATAAAAATAGAAATTACGTGTTTCAATTTTGGGCTGCCATTAATGGCAAGGTAATTGTGACCATCTTTCCTGTTGGAGACAACCCAAAAGGTAGATAAAATACAAAAAGCACCTCATAAAATTGGATTAAAAATACAACAAGATAAAGAATCATTACAGGACTTGAATGGGGAAGTGACTGGAATTCAAGAAGGTTCTAGCTATTTCTGCCCCTGTAGCATTTACTTGTCAGGAAAGGCAGCAAATATTCTAAATTTCCTCTAGAGAACTTCAGGTAGTAAAAGAAGATCAGAATCCTAAAGCTCAAAAGGATAAAGATCCTAATGGATCGACACCACTCCATATCCAAGGGGACAAAATCCCATTCCTGGCCTTTCCCCATGTATACCTTTGCTGACTTCATACAGGTAAATAGAAAATAATGAGCAAATAACAGACATGTAGGATAAACAAATTTAGAGATCCAGTATACCATCTGAGGACTAAAGGCAATAAAATTGTACTGTATTAGAGATTTCTACCAAATTAGTAGATTTTAGCTGCTTTTGCCACAAAGAGGGTTACTATGTGAGATAATGAATATATAAATCTGCTTCACTATAGTAACCATTTTACTGTTTATGTATCCTACAATACCATGTTGTATACTTTAAATACAGACAATGAAATTTATTTTTAAAAAATAGAAAATAATGAGCAGTTTGGAGGCCTCTAGAGGCTGAGCGAAGTGCAGCACCTACCAATGCAGAAATCTCCCCATAGAAAGTGAAGCTATGGATTAGGATCCCATATAGTGCCATCTGAAGTAGCAGAGTAAACAGTACTCAGTGCAGAAAGAAATGTCAGTTATCTCCAAATTGCTGAATCAATTCAATAAAGCCTAATTAAATGTCCAAAGGCTTTGAGTGTATGTGTGTGTGTGTGTGATTTGATAAACCAATGGCATAATTTTTATACACATACAAAGAGACGTACAATTGCACATGTGTGAAATTACACATCTAGTAGTTTATTTATATTATTAATTTAGAGGACTGCTTGTACACCCACAGCTTGAAGTAACTTGCATGTTCTTTAAAAGCATATGGCTAAAATAATTTCTGAATTATCCACACCGTGGAATACTTTGCCATCATAGAAAGAATAGAAAGATTCATATACTGATACAAAATTACTTTCGGGGCCAGGTGTGGTGGCTCACACCGGTAATCCCAGCACTTTGGGAGGCTGAGGTGGGCAGATCACGAGGTCAGGAGATCAAGACCATTCTGGCTAACACGGTGAAAACTTGTCTCTACTAACAATACAAAAAATTAGCTGGGCGTGGTGGCACACGCTTGTAGTCCCAGCTACTCGGAAGGCTGAGGCAGGAGAATTGCTTGAACCCAGGAGGCGGAGCTTGCAGTGAGCCAAGATCGTGCCACTGCACTCCAGTCTGGGCTACACAGCTTGATTCCATTAAAAAAAAAAAAAAAAAAAAAAAAAAAAACCTTCAACTCATGTTATTAAGTTTAAAAAAAGGCAAGTTGCAAAAATATATACATAGTATATTAGCAATTATTTTAAAAGTATCTATTGTACATCTGTATGTTTGTATACACATGTACATATATGTTGATGTACAGTATGCTTATGCAGTATATTTGTGTATACACACACATTTATATGTTAAAAAAAAAACTCAGGAAGTGGTATCTAAGAAACACATCACATTAGCTGCCCGTGAGAGGTGAAATTTATGGTTTCATGGTTATGGAAAAGAAGACTTTTTATCATGGATTTTTAAAATTACTAAACTTTGAATCTTGAGGAAGTTTTTATTCAAAAATAACTACGTAAAGAAAACAAAAAATAAAAAAATCAATTACACTCCTATATCAAAACCATAATCATTAAAACTTTTAACAATAACATCTCATTCATAATTTTACAAACTAACTATAGAAATTTGACAAAAGATGTGCAAGACTTTTATGGGTAAACATATGAAATTTAACTGAAATAAAATTGAAGTAAAATTGAAAAGCTTAAGTAAGTGTTCATTGACAGGACATTTCAATAAAAATACATAGCAAATCTCTTAAAATTAGTCTATAAATTCAATTTTACTTCAATCATAATTCCTAACAGAATATAACTTTATAATTACAATTTATATAGTAAAGCACCAAGGCACTTTTGAAGATGAATAGTGAAGTTGTAAGACATGCCCTATTTTATATTAAGGCACATAACTTGTAGTCATTTAAACAAAGCAGTACGGTCATAGGTCCAGAAGTTATGTCATGATGATTCAATAGAAAAATCAATTAAAAACTCATGAAAATACCCATGCACAGATAAGGACTTGATCAATGACAGAAGTGCCTGACAATTATTGGGAATATTCAATAAATATATAATTTAATAAGGAGAGACATTGTTACCCAGCGTAATGCCTATGTGACACAGCTGAATTTCTACCCTGCCCTAGCTCTACTTACATTCAAGAAACATGGCACCTGCAATAAAAAGTTCCATTTGTACCCAGACCAGCTGAGACTGGTTAGAACCAAGATGGCAGACAAAACAGCTTCAAAACGACAGCGGGCTTCATTATAATCTCATTTCCATGCAAAATGACACCCCCACCAGAACCATGACAGTTGACAATCATCAACTGGAAGAAGCCATATAAGGACAAAAGGGAAGGCAGCACTCTGGTTACCAGAGGTTCACTCCCCAGCTCCAGAAAATACATTAATATTCCTCCCGTTAGTTTTAATGTCCAACTTCTTTATTAGAAAAACCCTATATTTTAATCCCCTCACCCATCACTAATCAAGAAACTGATTTGTGAGCCATGCTCCCAATTCTCAATTCCGTGACCATCGAATAAGTTTATACTGCTTGAAACTGACTTTCAGTTTTATGTACTGGCTTTGTGACACTAAACAAGGAAAGACTACATCTTTGACGAGATTAGCTTTGTCAATAACAACATCATTCCCTCATAAATACACAAGAGTAAAATCCATATGGGTTAAGAACTACATTTGAAAAAAGAATTTTAAGAAAGTCAAGTGTCTAAGAGCAATCAGTGTCGTTCCCAGTCTTTGTAAACCAGTTGGGAGTGGTGATCCCAAAACCAGTCCACCTCCATATGTTGTGCACTCTGGGATGAAGACAGCTGGCAGCTGATGTTCTTAAAATTTGAAGAAAAAACAAAAAAAGAACCATAAGAAGTATAATGGCTACTTCTTGGAAAGCAGAAAAGTAAATAGCGCTATTGAGGGGTACAAAGGTGACTTTAACTTAATCTAAAGGAACTATGACAAATTGCTAAGAGTATCTGTGCACTATATTACTCTCTATTTTTTCAAAAAATTCTATTATTATTTTATTATATTTGAAAGTTGTAAATTTTAAAAACTATTCATGAATTCGGGGTCATGGAATTGCCAAGGAAATCTGAAGAGGACTCTCCTGTCCTTACCTCCCTCAGATCCACGATGCCTTCTTCATAGGTGTGGCCATCTTTAAAGAAGCAGTGATACTGCCCACCATCAAAAACAGTGACGTTGTAAATCTGGAGGGTAATTTTGCCGCCTTCTAGTGCATCCTTCAGGAACACTGTGCGATTCATGTAGTTCTGAATGCCTTCTCCAGAGTGTTCTTCCCCATCTTCATACAGGTAAATCATTTGGGAATGGCGATCCCGAAACCAGCCCACCTGCATGAGCTGTGCATTCTGTGGTGGGGACAGTTGGCAGCTGAGCTCAGCCTGGCTGCCGACCATGACCACGTGGTGACTCCTAGAGCTACTCACAGTGAACTGCTCTGTGGAGAGTTGAAGACCAAAGATTTAGTCTGAAGACTACAATAGAATGCTCTCCTAGATCCTCTTTTTTGGGATGCTCTGACCTTTCTTCTGATTCTTGATGTTGTTCTGACTTCAGAACTTTGCTCTCAGATATATCTTTACTCTGATGGCAGTGTTTTTCCCCCAGACGCTCATAGCTGCCTCCTTCTCATCACTCAGGTTCCATCTTAAAAAACTACTCCTTAAAGAAATGTTTTATGATTGCTCATTCAACATTTCCCGAAATCACATTTCCCCAGCACATATCACTATCTGATATTTTATTTCTAATTCTTTTCTTCATTTTCTCTCATGACCTATTAATATGTAGGTAATGAAACAAAAGAGTCTCTTTTTTCATTCTTTTTTATATCCTCAGTGCATAAAGCATTACCTGAACATAATAGGCACTTCATGAATATTTAAAGAATGAATGGAGGATGCTCCAATTGTCAAGAGGTGGGATGTGGAACCTGATTATTTTACAATCTTTACTTTGAAAATATACCAGCTACTTTTTCTAATATCACTTTTTAGTGGGCTAAAAGTGGCCACAACAATTTTTATGTCCCTTCTATGAAGCAAAAAGTATGACTGTTCCTCTTGAATTAGTGTGTTCTGTGATTTCTTTGTTCAGTAGAATGCAGCAGAAGACATGCTGCAATAGTTTCTGGGCCTGTTTTGATAAAAGAGCAGCAGCCATTCTTTCCTGTTGTAACAATATTTCTTGAAGCCCTGAGCTGCCTTATACGAAGTCTGACTACCTTGTGACCACAATAGTAGAAAATCCACATGTGGATAGATCAGTTGACAATCTCAGCTAATCCCAACCTTCCAGCCTACTCCACCAAAATGCCAGACACCTAAGTGAAGCCACCTTGAGCCCTTCAGATCATTTCCTCCACCAGCAGATACACCAAGTGACCTCAGTCTATGTCACATGGAGCAGAAGAATCACCCGGGTGAGCCCTGGCCGAAGTTTCTGACCCACAAAATTGTGGATAGAATAAACTGATTGTTATTTTACATCATTAATGTTTAGGCTAATTTGTTCCAAAACTGTAGATAACTATCACATGGGTCCTTCCATACCTTTAGCTTTTGCTTCTCTATACTATGTCAAATTCATTTCTGTCTCTGCTAAGAATGTTTACCCCTCTCATCATAAGTAATCTGAATTATAAAACCTAATAGTCCTCTGCTCTAAGAAAAATTTGTGGACAGCTCCCACTCACACTAACTTCTTTATGTGAAGTCCTGCTAATCCTATAAACTTATAATTCATATGGTTACATAAATAATTGTGGTGTGTTCTTAAAGATAAGATATATTTATTATGATTTGCCAGTGAGAATTTAAGCTTCCTAAGGAGACATGTTAAACATTTATCTATGTTGTCTCATAGGCACATCATTGCAACTCTGTAGCATAACAATTGAAATAACATTTCTTAATCTTAAGCTGTTTTAATACTCATTTCTACCACCGAAACTGGAATATAAGGGTAAAATCTGTGAAATAACAGTGAGAAGCTTGCTCATTTTTTTCAGCGTAATTTGCACCATGAAAAAGAAATAGATATCCCTACCTGAGGTGAGTACTGTTATCTGTAAGAGAAGAATGGCCACAAAGTATCCAGATAAAGAGGAAAATGCAGGCTCCATCACACCTGGAAAACAAAACCATAATTACAGTATCAGGAAGCAAGAACCATGGTAACACAGGGAAAGAAAAGAAATAAATAATTTTCAAATCTTGTCTTTTGAGAGAATTTCATTTGATGTGCAACCAAATGAGCTCATCAAACCTTAGGTGTCAGGTCCACTGAAATGATCTCTTCTCCCCTTTCCTTTATATGTGTTGACTTGGCTTACTGCCTTTATCAGGTTAACTGTTCTGAAAGGAACTGTGGTAGATAAGAGCATAAAAGATGTCCAGAAACCAAGCTATGCGCATTCCCACATTCACTTGGCCCCACCTGCCCCTTGACCTATGCTACTTGCTTGGCTGAAAGCCCTGGCTGCTGCTGCCAAAGTTGCCTCATTTCCTGATGCAAACGATGATTTGCCTTCTTTTGTTGGGGAAGGGCCAGTTTCAGCAAAACATGTTATGGGCATGGTCTGACCTAATTGGATCCATGGAACTTCTGGTTCTACCCACCACTCCCTCATTCAAAGGAAGGTGAGACCTAGATTCCCCAGTAGTTTCCCAGAGTGCCTGGTTAAAATAACTCATTTGTAAAGGTGTGTTAAATGCCTATAAGATAAAGTTGGATGAATCCGATACAAGAAATAGGAGGAAGCGAGCAGATAAATGCTTCTTCTTTCTTGTTTCACATACTAATTTTCCCCCTCACTTTTGCTACCGATTATTACACCACCACCCTATCCCTCACCAATAGACTGTTAGTAATAAGTTTAGGCACAAGCTGTTTTTCTAGGAATCCAGATAGAGGGGGAAAAAAGACACTGCTAAGATATGGAGGTACACATTTGCATGCTGGATTGCGGAGTATATATTTGTTTTCATACACTCAGTAGCTATGCAAAGTTTGGTTCATGAAGGACCTCAAATACGTCAATGAATAAAATGTTAGATTTATCCTCTAGAAAATGGTGTGCATACATGCAAAATATAAATGACGTAATTCCATGGTGAGATTTATGTTTTATAATACAAGAATATAAAATAATGTACCAAAGGAGAGAAAACCTACAGGTTAGATGGCTCTTGCAATTGTCTAATCTATTCATTAAAAAGCAAATGAGATTGAAAAGAATAGAATAAATGAAAGCAGTGTTAAATGACTAAGAGAGTGGAAGGACAAGTCACAGAGTTGGAGAAGATATTAACAAATATTCAAATGATAAAGAGTGCATATCCTGAATATTTATTTTTTAAAATGTTTAGTTATACAAATTATTTTTAAGGGAGCTGAACCAGTAGAAACACAAGTAAGACACCTGAACAGTTAAGTATAGAAAATAACCAAATAGCAGTAAACATAAGATAAGGTGTAGAACCTCGTTAAGAATCAGGAAAATGCATATTAAAACCATAACCAACTTTGAAGTGAACATATTTGGGAAAAAATAACAATACAACAATAAAAATAATAAAAATTATAAAACAGCATAATAATTATTTATATACATTTATGTTGTACTAGGTATTATGAGTAATTTAAAGATGATTTAAAGCATATGGGAGGGTGTGCATAGGTTTTATGCAAATACTACATTTTATATAAGGCACTTGAGCAACCAGATTTTGGTATTTGCAGAGATCCTGGAACAAATCCCTTATGGATACCAAATGATGACTGTATAAACTTAGAACTTCCATCCAGAATATCCATAAAGAATTCTTATAATTTTATAAAGACAGAAAAATTGACAAAATTGCTTGAGTCGACACTTCACAAAAGAAGATATCTGAATGGCAAATAAGACATATAAACATGATCATCATTTGTCACCAGGAAATACAAATTAAAACCACAATAAGGCACCGCTGCACATTTGAATAGTTGAAATTAAAATGACTGACAATATCAAATGTTGATGATAATAAGGAGCAAGCAAAACTGCTGGGTATTTTTGGTGGAAGGATAATATAATACAATTGATACAATGCATTTAGTTCAGGAAGTTCAGCGGAGCAGCACTGTAGCCAGTACACCAAACTGACAAGGACAAAAAAACAGAAGAGGAGGAAAATTGATCAATAAGCAATCAGTTATTGACCAGAGACCAAAACAGTAAGGGTTTGAGGAGGAAAATTGATTAATAGGCAATCAGTTATTGACCAGAGACCACAACAGTAAGGGTCTAAACCAGCATTTGTTTACATACATGAGGACTAGGCAAATAAGCAAGTATTTTTAAGGATAATGACAGCCAGGTGTCTTATAATGTGAGAAAGAAACTACAAATATAGAAAGGAAGTTAGAATACATTCTATGATATTGAGTTGAAATTGGAGCAATTCATATAAAGTCATGGGTTTCAATAGATACAGGTAGATAGAAAATTAAGTATTAAATACATATGTGTGAATAGTTAGATACATAGATAGTCTGAGTTCTGTCCACTGGCAGCACCCAGGAGCAATAGCTAGCAGCCAGATCTTGGTCTCTAAATACCACTCCATTCTCAACACAACCAGGTTCTTCCGACAAATAATTGATTCCAGGGTGTGTTAGTCTATTTTGGCATCACTAAAAGAAATACCTAAGGCTGGGTAATTTATAAAGAAAAGGGGTTTAACTGGCTCATGGTATTGCAGGCTGTACTGGAAGTGTGACTTAAATAGAGTCTCTGAGCCTATTGGAGCTCTTTTACTATTCTTGCAATGTTCATAAAAATTTGAAATTATTTCAAAGTTTAAGTAATAAAAAACTGTTACTTCTACACAAATAAGAATGTTGGTAAGCTACAGAATTATAGCTTTTTTAAAAGCCATGAGAGAGCTAAGAACACAAAGAAACCTAATAAACCAAATTCCAGAAAGTGAGGACACCTTCCTAGGCGAGAAGAAACCTACAGCTGATTTCACCTCTGGTAAAATTATGAGAGAAAAGAGAATCTACCATGAATAGGAGTAGTGCACAATAAGCTAAATTGTTAAGAGTCATATGTGGTCTGGGGGAAGAGCCCCTGCCACAGAGAAAATCTGTATGTTCCACCAATTCTTTATCATGGAAACTCAATTATTACATGGGAATAGTATACCAAAGGATGCAGACAGAGCACAAAAGGTGAGAGAGATTTTGAGGCATGCAGGGCCTTCCCCAAATGACTGCTGAAGATTCAGGGAAAGACAGATAAAGTGTGGTAAATCTTCCTAGAGACACCCTCATCAGTCACACTACACTGGTCTTCTAATGGCTGAGGGCTGGAAAAGAGAATGGAGAAAGATTGTCTAAGACACAAAAGAGCTAAAGTATGATAGGAGAGCAAAAAGAATTCCTTGGTGAACCAGAAAGCTGGCAATTGAACTGTAAAGCAGAGAGAAAGAGAGAGTTCAAAGTTCAGGAAGATGGCAAGTGGATTGAAGACATCTTTTGCAACTTGCTGGTCCTTGAGTCTTTGACCCTTTTAAGGGGAAGTCCTAATTCCACTGAAAGACTTTGAAGTAAGTGGTGAAACTGAATCCAACTAAAGCTTAAACTGCCCAAATGCAACTCAAATACAAGTTACATTGGCACAGTTCCCCATATTAGCAACCTGACAAAAGAAGGACATATCCTTTTATAAGTAGAATTAGCATTAGTATTTACTCTTCATTGTCATGTCAATGTCTGACATACAAGCAAAGTTTATAAGACAATAAAAAGTAATAAAATATGACACATTACTAAGAGAGGAAAGAATCAATAGAAGCAAATCCAGGGATGGCCTAAATATTTAGTTCACCACTTATAAACGTTTTAATAAAACTATAATAAATACAATAACAGATCTATTTAGAAAAGCGACAACTTGCATGAGCAGATGGAAAATTTCTTCAGATAGGTATTATTTTACAAAAAAGAATGAAATGAAAATGCTAGACACGAAAAATATGATATTAGATATAAAGAGATAATTTGAGGGCTTAACAGACAGGACACAACTGAGAAAGGAGTGGTGAACTTAAAGAGAGATAAAAAAAAATTATTTAAACTGAAATTAAAATAGAAGGAAAAGTAAAAAAGATAGAAGAAAGCATTTATGACATTAACAGAAAGGAAAAAATTATATGTATAATCATCTCAACAGAAGTAGAAAATAATCATTTGACAAGATTCAACTCTTACAATAAAACTTTCAAAATCTGAATAGAAGAAAACCCATCCCTTTAAAATATACAATTTATGATAACATCAAAAATTAAATACATTTGAATAAATTGAATAAGTAGAATATTTTTATAATGAAAACTGAAAAACATTATTTAGAGATATTAAAGATGACCCACATTAATGGATAGATATATAATGTTCATAGATTTAAAGACTCAATATTATTTATAAATCTGCTTTTAATCTATGGATTAAACTTAATCTCCAAATTCAAGTCGTCTTTCTGAGGAAACTGACATAATTTATATAAAATTTTATAGAAAAGGTCAAGATATAGAATATCTAAACATTTTTTAAAATAACAGATTTGGAAACCTAGCATTAATCAATACAATAATCAAAATAGTGTTGTATTGTCAGAGGGATAGTGTTGTACTGACAATGAATTCTTGACAAAGATGCAAAGTACAGAAAGTTCAGATCTATTTCTAGACTCTCTTTTGTTTCACTGATCTATTTGTGGGCTTTTACATCAATAGCACAGTCTTGATTAGTGCAATTTTATAGTGAGCTTCAAAATCACATTCTCCAGCTGAATTCTTTTTCAAGAGCCACCATGCAACTATCTATGGAATTGGAGAAAAGGCAAATCTTCTAAAAACAACTATTCTCCTGTGGAGAATCAACTTCTGGCTTACTACTAGAGTCTGGTAGAGATCGAATGCCTAATAATGAGACACTAAGTGATCATAATGATCTACACTGGCTAATGAACTGATTGGCCAGCAGGTCAGAATCTTGGAATAAACCAAGTTGGAAGATTAGTGACAGGCAGTCTTGGGTCATGTGTGAATGTGCTTCTCAAAATGAGCACAAAATCTTGA